TCTAAAGATAAAATACTTCTATTACAGCTCTTAGTATTAAAAATCAGGTGCTACTTTGCAGTCATGCAGATGGTGAGAATTTCCACCAGACCCTGTGTGTAGAAATGAGATTAGAGTTCTTTTTTTAAGAACAACTTTGTTTTTTGTCTGAAGTACTTAACTTAAAAGTTTTCAAATTGAAATATTTTTAAACAAAACATACGCATGTACAGTCAATAAGAACGATATTACAGTAGCATGGCTAGTCTTTGGATATGAAAAGAGACTACCTATTTTAACTTCTACTTACAATCAGCTCAAAACATGTTTGTCATTAATTTCTTCATTTTTATATTGTTATAAGTAACACCAGTAATATCACTTTGGTTGTTCCCCCCCACCACCACATATTTTAAATAATACTGATCATCTTATTCTTTTTTCAGAGCCAGTAGGCATATTCAAAGCCCAAAAGCACAGATAAAAACTAACTTGCAGATTGCTGTATATCAAATTACTTTCTATCAAATTACTTTCTATGTTTTGAGTATTCTTCTTCCCTTTATGAGAAAAATTATTTTTTTCTAATGCCCATAAAACCAAAAAGTCTTTTCGTTTAACCTCCCAAAACATACAGGTCATCTTCAATGATTTGATTTGATTTGTCACTGATTTTATGTAACGTTTCTCACCAAAATGATACATCTTTGCTTTTAGTAGAGCCTTCCTACTTTGAAAGTGTTAGAGAAGCTGACTGGCCTCCAGCCCCCAGCCTTCAGCATATTGATGGATGCACTTGTGAAGACTCTGCTTCCATTTCCCCAAACTACTGCTGTGAGTAGGAGGCTCATATTTCAGGGCAGTGAAGACTATTTATCGCTCTCTACAAAGATTTAATCTTATTGTGGGTATTTTTTGCTGTTTGTTCCCTGCTGGGAGCCCTGAAAAAAAAAGCAACATGTGAACCTCCCATTTTGTGGTCTGGCTGAACTCTTGGATGAAAAAGGCAAGCACTCTGTAAAAGTATCAAATGCCAGATGGTTGCTTACCAGGATGTAAGAAAGTTCACCTGGAAAATCATTGTCTTTTCTGCTATCCAGTACTGGAATATCAGGAGAAAAAAATGAAAGCTGTACAGAATGCTCCAATTTTGTATTATATTATTCTCATTTGGGGCAATAGAATCCTAGTCATTATTTCCAACATAAAAACTAGTTATAGTTTCTGTAGACAAAACATATAGAAATAACAATAGACTGAGGCAGTTTATGTAGTAGTTACCTTCTAGGAACGTGCAGGTCCACTGCAAGCTGAACCAAAAATCAAGAAAAGGCCTGGTCTGAAAAAAGGTCAGCTCCTTTCTGTGGTATGCCAATGCAGTAACGTTCAAGGTACATCAGACTTTTGTTTCGTGTTTTAACAGAATGAAATGAGGTGATCTCCTTGGCCCGAATACATAGAAAAGCCTACACAAACCTTGTAGACTTTTATTTCAGATACTTTAGACCAGACACAGGGAATAGAAGAAAGGAAGTGATAATGTCACATAACAGACATTTCAATAAGCAGTTTAAATATCAAGCAGAAAATAAATTCAGAACACTTTTTATCACAACTTTTAAAGAAAACCTTGACTCTTAAGACACCTATTGCTTATCTGGCTGCTGGCATAGGTCTCTAAGTTTCAATTACATCTTTATATGCTGAAAGATTTGAGTGTGGCAGTCTTGTGATACAACAGAGTACCTAAAGAGATGGAAGAAAGAGGCAGAATAAGCATATAGTCAAAACTAACGAAGATGATACTATTTTTTCCTTTTTCCTTTTGTTTTTTTTTTTCATTTTTGCCTCCCCTCTCATTTGTGTACTTGCTTTACGTTGTGTTGACTAACAGAAAAATTAAATCAATTTCTGGGCTAAATTAAGCTAAACAGAGGGTAAGTCTTTTTTGAAGTCATTATTGATTACTGCTGTACTACCTCATGCTTCTGTAATAATGATTTTTCAGAGATGCTAGAACAGAAACATTCAAGATTTAACTGGCTTTTTTTTGTTTAGTTGGGTTTGTTTTTTGGAGGGTGATTTGGAGGGGGTTGGGGGCAGTTGGATTTAGGGGTTTTAGGGAAGTTGAGGAGATGGGGTTTTTTGTTTGATTAGTTTTTTATTTTTTGTTTTGGGTTTTTTACTTTTATTTTTTGGTTCTGTTTTTTGTTTTAAGGAGTTTTGTTTTGGGATCTTGGTTTTTTGGGGGGACTTGAGGGGGTTGGGGAATTTGGGGAGTTGGGGGTCGAGGATATTTTGGATTTTTTTTGATTTGAGGTATTTTGTTTTCGAAAGATTCTGGTTTTTTGAGTTTCAGGGGCTTGGGGTGTTTTTAAGAGTTTTTAGGTTTTGTACTTTTTTGTTTTGGGGTGGTGGGTTTTTTTTTTTGTTTTTTTTTTTTTTGTAGAGCAGGTCTAAAATACTTTCTGGCCAATCAGGCTGCAAAAATACTGTTTGTGTAGTCTAAAACCAATACTACATAAGCGGATGGTAGTTATAATTACTTCTATGTAGTTCCTAGGTTGATCAGTGGTTTTATGAGATTTTTTTTTATCTTATATTGTCTCTAGTCTACAGAAACTCTTTTGAGGTTCCTGTTGTAGCATAGTTTGATAGCCGAAGGTCATATTTCACCTCAGTTAAGAGCTTTAGGACTTTGTATAGAGAGAATTCTACAAGTTTTCAGTCTTCGATGGACATCTCAAATTTTGTGACCAAAATCGGAATTGTAATAAACTGGAATCTTGTCTTCTGAAATGTGCTTAGCCCAGAGATAAGGAATTCAAATGACAGTTATGGAACAGAAGCTTCAAGAAGCTGGGTATGAAGAAAAATGTTTTCTTCTGAGCTCCAGCTTTAGGAGTTGGCACTTTTAATGCCTTCATCTTTGTCTGAAGGTCCATGCTCCCTGCTGATCATATGTCTGTTTAGCTGAATTATTTGAATTGTAATAATTATTCATTTCTGTATGTAGTGCTTTTTGTCATCTATGGTAGGTATGATGAAACCTCTTAGCTGATTAAACATGTTTTAGCCTCAGTTATTCACGTTTTTATTGCTGCCCAGACAGAATGCAGGAGAAGAGGGAATGGAGATTCCAAGTTTGAATTGCAGCTGAAAAACAACGCTTACAAGACTCCTCCGCTGTAACAAAGGCTATCAAAGTACCTCAGCATACTAGGAGCTAACGGGCCCCAATGCCAGCACAGTGTAGGCTGATGTAATCTGTATGTTGCAGTATCACTGTGCAAGAGATAAACTTTATTTGGTGAATATGAGCTAATAATTTCAGGCAAAGCAGAGCACTATACTGCTTCTATTCCAGGGCTTGCTAGCCTGGGGAGCTGTGCATCATGTTTCCTTGTGGCTATAGTAAAACACATGGAACATAGCTTGTACTATTGTGAAAGCATTCACCCTTTGTCCCTCTACACGCACCTTTGGTATAATAAAAGCTTCTCTAAAGAGAAATGATCTAGTAGTTTGAGGAAGAAACAAGTATCCAATGCTAATCCTACTCCTTCAGCAATTTTCCCTGAAGCCCTAGGCAAATTGGCCAGCTGTTAACTCAACCTCTATTACTGTAAAACTAAAATGCTGTGATGGGCTTTGTAGTTAAAGTGAAATGTGAGAAATAATTAGATGATGTTTTGTTAAGGTTTCGATACAAATCAAGTGTTCATCAATACTTCTTGTTTGACAATATCTGTAGCATAGCAAATGCTTGCTAAAATGTCATATTTCCTTTTCTTAAGGTTGATTTGCAGTTATAAGAAATAGCTTTGAAAATGGGTTAACTTGTGAGAGAGGGAGGAATCTGAATACATATCACATTTTTTGACTGAAAAGATTAAAATTCTTACAGAGGCACTACTCTGTACCATTATGTGAGCACTGAATGCTCAAGAGTTTGTTTACACTTTGCTTAGAAAAAATACTTTTATTAACAGAATGGTTGGAGGGATACCCCTTCAAGTAACTGGACACTGCCAGTACCAGGTGCTGCTGTACTGGTGGCCCTGAGGGGTCTTTATTTTCCATCTTAGTCTTATTTAAAAGTGTGTATTTTATGTACATATTTGAAACCAGGTAGCAGCACAGACTTTCATTTATGAGTTGTACTGTAGGGAAGCTCATAGGTTAATGTATTGAAAAAAAACAAGTAGTATAGGCCTATCATCTAAATATAAATTCCACACAGAGAGGAAATTTCATGACATTAGATGACAAATTGCTGAAAATGGTCAAATTTTTGATGCAACTTTTTGATTTATAAAAGTAAGAGGCATTAACTTCTAAAACTATACTATGATGTGTCTTTGTCAAATATTCCATAATTACCTTTAAGAACTGCCATTCTATTTATTTTCAGAAGACAAAAGCATATTGTTACTGTTCATAAAGTATATAAGTAAGTGCAAGTTGATATGATATATGTATATTGGCTATGGCCAACTGTCACAGATATGTGCTCTTCTTCTGCCTGGAAATTTAGTCATTAAAGGATCTGTAGGCTTCAGACGCTTATGTGATAAACCAGGAATATCAGACCGACTTATTAGAGGTAGCTGCAATCTGAACTTGTAGATGTTTGAAGATGTGCTGGACAGGTTCTGCCTACATAGATCAGCTGAAGGCTTGACATTTGATATGCATATGTGGTAAGCATGACAAGGTTTGAATGAGTTGAATGTACTGTACAGACTTCTTGTACGTGTGCTTCCTCTATGTAGTAAAGCCAGTATTCCTGGATGTATCTAATGCTGTACATAGGTCTATCAGTGCAAGTCAAGCACAGACAACAGTCCCAGATGCATCCAATTTACTGCACATGGAACATGTGCAACTTGTTTGAGAAATGCTGATCACCATTCTATAACCATACACCTTTGGATCTTTTTTCCTGTCAACAACTCTGACACTCAAGTCGCCCAGATAAAGCAAGGGTTAAGCTTCCACATTTCTTTCTTTCTTTACAGAAAGAAGACTGTTCCACAGTACCTGGGTCCTGGGTAAGAACTCTAGGCAAGACAGAGTTCCCTCCTATCTCTTTTAACCCCTGTAGGCTTCTGCTGTGGAATTGTCCTTTGGATTAAAAATGAACTACCTTTTCATATTTTTTTTTAAAGTGGATCTTCTTTGACCATCTTTTATATGTATGAGAAATAATGTCTTCCTTTGCTTACTTGTCTGAGCAAATTGCCCAATTTTCATGTCTGATTAGCCATATTTTTCTTTTTTTTTGTTTTTTTTTTCCTTCCATCCATCCATCTGTCCTTTCGTTCATCCATCATTCCTTGTTAAGGGTAGTAGAAACTTTCTGTGGCTTATGTTTGTTTAATACAAACCTTTCTGATTTAGGCAAAGACTTCAAACTTCTTGCTGGGAAGAAGGCAGAAACCTAATGAGACTTTAGGCTGAGGGCATCTTAAAAGGCAACATGAAAAATATTTTAATTTATCTGAAATAATTATTGAAGCATATAAATACTGTTTCCCCCACCACCACCCAAGTAAATTTAAAGCATGTAAGTTCCTCTGGGTAAATATGTTGGTGTTCAGAGCAAAGCCTCATCTGTTCATAATGTGCTGTCACTGTGAAAAATTGGATAGATTGGTGATTCTTAGGAAACAGCCCAATAGCAAATTCACCACGTTGTTTGAAATTATGCAATGCCATTTGTCAAGGACAGCAGACAAAGAGTCTTCCAGGATATGAAGCAAAAAGTCACTTTCATTCACCAGGACATTTTTGTTTATTCTCTGCAATTTCTTAATCATGTCACTTGTTTGCCCATTTATTTAAATTTAAAAAAGACTTCATCTCTTGTAATAAGTTTCATGGTCTGCAGGGTGAATTCTCATGTATAACATTGAATTCTAGGTTTTTCCTGTAGTTCAGGTAGAATTTCAAGATTCAAGGATTACCTTTTGTTCTTGTGTAAAATTGAATCCAATCTCCTGAATAAATGAATTTTTAAAGCAGTGAACTGTTCTTCTGAGATCAGCCATCGTGAAGGTAAATCTCTTCGCAGCCATTTAATATTGTGTCTAATTCTGTTGACTTCAGTTTGTTTGTGGCAGGAATTAATTTTCCAATTCAGATAGAACTGGGAAGGTATCATCATAAAGCCCTCAGTAAATTGCTATTTTAATGTGAAATGGGAGCTTACAAGAGTTATTTTGGGAAAATTGTATTTGTTCTCCAGTAACTGAAAGCTGACTTGTAGGCTTAATAATCTTAGGAGCACTTTTCCTTTGATATTGTTGCCTTTTGAAGAATTGATAGGCCTTATATTATTGTATTGCAGAAGACTGGTGGAGGTGCTGAACTAAAAGGGTAATTCACTTTCTCTTTGAAAGGAATCTTATGCTAAATAACAAACATATTTGTCCTTTATAATGAAGTTCTTCAACAAAACTTGCTACCACAAATTCCTGAGTTATTACAGGAAACTGAGTGGATTGAATAAGCAGCATGAATAGTCTGTAATGGAAACATCTTTTTCAGTCTTTTTTATCTTGTTATAATGTAATATTGGTTATTAATAAGTCTGCTTTGTTCAGTCCTTCACCACTTATCCAAACCCTTTTTTAAGGTTCCTTTCTATAACCGCTTTACGTTCCTCTTCAAAGCTTGGTAGAGACCTAGAAGCTTGTAGGGAGACCTAGCTGTAATCCATAACTTTGGTTTTGGGTGGCCATTCCAAAAAGTTCAGACAATGTAAATTTTGATGTAGATGTTCAGAATCAAGCAATTGGTTTACATGTAGCAGTTACTGTTTTACTTCTGAGATTCCTTGGGAAAGCTGGAAAACTCTAAGATAAACATGAAATTGAAATGTTATGTTTGAAAAACAAGTCTGTGTAGGAACAATTTTGTAAGTTTTAATGAACATATATTTCATTAATTGTCCTCAGCTGGAAGTTACAACTTCATTTTCTAGAAAGAAAATTGACTTCTAAATGTTTTGTGTGTCAAAGGATTAGATGAAAAACATCTTCATGAAACAAAGCAAGGCAATTAGCATTAGTCGAGTGTTGTATGTTTCTTTGGATGCTTCTTTACAAAGCTTGTAAAATCTGAATATTTGAAAGATCCCATAGGAAGAAAGCCTACAGTCTCACCCATGAACTTTATCATTTTATAAGAGGAAACAAAAAGGCACAGTGGTTATGATATTGATTTATCCTAACCACTTGGGAAACCTGTTTTGTGATAAAGAGTTCTTATGGCTAAATGCTTGAAGTGGTGATATTGGTGACCAAAATTCCAAATTAAAAAAAAAATCATAAAGTAAATGTATGTAAGAATAAAAAATAAGTTCAACTTTAGCAAGTTCTCTATCAAAAGACTTTGTATTATAAGGTCATATGTCTGCTCTATCTCTTGCTCAACTTTCCTGAATAAGCACAAATTGCTATAAACCACATACCCATTACACTGAGTACAGTTTGGTACTGATATTTATTTAAGAATGTAGGAATTGCTGTGCTGTCTAAGACTAATGGTTTCTCTATTCAGTCTACAGCAGACAGGATCAGATGCTTCAGAAAAAAGACATTAAAAATGTGAAAACTGTCTATTACTGAGTAACCATTCCACAAAGGAAGCTTTTCTGACATTATTCACTCACAGTGTGTCACTTGTCGGGGAGTTTCAGACCTTAAGTGGGAGGAAAGTTCTCTTAGCATTGCCTTATTTCTTTTCTTCCCAAGTGTATTGACTGGAGAAAAGCATACTTACTGTTTTGAGGCTAACTGTTTTGGAAAAGTAAACGTTTATAATGTTCTACCTTTGCAATCTGTATTATATTATTAAGGTATATATTGAAATCCAGCTTTCAATGATATGTCAAGCTGTTATGCATAGTGCAGAATTTTAAAGAAATGCTTAACGTTTTCAGTTAGTAAATTTGAATTAATGTGGTGCCCTTCCTGCCTCCATATCAGCACATCAGAGTGTGCACACACACTGCTTTTGTGGCACTAGTATTCAGTGGTTTTTTGTTTTCTTGATCTGTGTGTTTGGTGTGTTTGGGGGGGATGGAGAGATTGTTGCTGATTTTTTAGTTTTGACGAAAGATCGTCACAGTCCAAAGAGTGCTCGCATTGAAGAAAGCAGTTTCATGCTAAAGCAAGTCATTCCTCCTAAACTCTCTTCTTCCAGTGTAAGATGCAGCTAGCTAAAATGATATCCCTATTTTTAAAGGCTTGTCCTAACTCTTCCTTCTGAACCTATGGAATACCAATGTTCTTGATCTAAGTTTCATTTTTTTTAATATAGTGACAAATGTTATCTCTTTAATATAGTGACAGATGTTTCTTATATTTTTATTATTATTATTTTAAGGATGATTATGAGGTGAAATCTGAGGAGCGTGCCAGTGTCATCCAACAGCTTGAGCAAACTATTGAGGACCTGAGGACCAAAATTGCAGAACTAGAGAAACAATTCCCTGCTACAGAAGTACGGACTGCTGCAAAAGAGCAGGAAAATGAGCACCGACACCCACTCTGCAGGGAACTCAGTAGTGTGACTCTTCAAACCAACGGAGAGGAGGTTGTACCCGGAACTGTGTCACAAGCAAGATCTGTACAAACATCACCAACAGATGATTATTTAACACACACAATGCCTTCAGCCAATGCACTGCCACAGCCACCCTCACCACCATTCTTGGAAGGAGGCAAAAGTGAAGGGCCAACTCAGCAATTGCCAACTCTGGAACTACAGCCCACGTTTTGTTCTGAAATCTCCTTAATACTGTCACCGAAGCTGATCTCAGTGCCGCTGGATGCAAGCCAATCAGTACAAAGTACACCACAGTCACCTCTTCCAGGACCCAAAGTTAATTTGTCCCTTGCATTTGAAGGAGAGACTGGATTGCCAGCTCCCCATCAGCCCCTAAGTACTGGAAATGTGACCTGCAGTGAATGTACCCTCACTGTGCCACCAGAGCCCTCTTGTAGCATTCTCTCATCACTGCCAGCCCCTACCCTGGCTTCTCCTGCACCCCTGTCAGGAGGACCACCCCTGCCCAGTTCAGGACTCCCTCTGCATCCTGCTGGCCCAGCAATGCCACACCTGGACCACTCTTTGCCAGGTGGTATGATGCCACCTCCTCCTCCTCCACTTTTGCCAGGTGGGGAGATACCAGCGCTGCCTCCAGCCCCACCTCTTCCAGGTATCCCACCACCACCTCCACCACCACCTCTGCCCAGTGGAGGTATCCCACCTCCCCTGCCACCACCACCTTTACCTGGGGCCAGTGTCCCTTCCCCACCTCCTCCTTTACCTGGCTTGGGAGTTCCCCCACAACCCACACCACCACCTCTACCTGGAGCAGGAGTGCCACCACTTCCCCCACCTCTTCCCGGAGGGGGCATTCCTCTGCCTCTTCCTCCCCCTCCTCTGCCGACACCTCTGCCTGGTGCGGGTTTCCCTCCCCCCCCTCCTCCTCCACCTCTGCCTGGTGCGGGTTTCCCTCCCCCCCCTCCTCCTCCTGTGCCTGGTGCGGGTTTCCCTCCCCCACCACCTCCTCCACCTCTGCCTGGGGCGGGTTTCCCTCCGCCGCCACCTCCTCCACCTCTGCCTGGTGCAGGCCTGCCGCCGCCACCTCCTCCACCTCTGCCTGGTGCAGGCATGCCGCCGCCGCCGCCACCTCCTCCACCTCTGCCTGGTGCAGGCCTGCCGCCGCCGCCGCCACCTCCTCCACCTCTGCCTGGTGCAGGCCTGCTGCCGCCGCCACCACCTCTGCCAGACCTGGGAATGCCAGTCCCACCAACTTTGCCAGGAGCTGTGCCACCCCCTCCACCACTAGCCCAGAGCAGCGCCTATCCAGCAGTCCCACAAGTTTGTGGGTTTCTTCCTCCTCCATTACCATCTGGTTTATTTGCAATGGGGGTGAATCAGGAGAAAGGGAGCAGGAAACATGTGATAGAGCCTTCTCGACCAATGAAGCCTCTTTATTGGACAAGAATTCAGCTCCACAGTAAAAGGTAAATTATATAATTGCAGAGAGAGAGTTTTCACTTTGTGACTGTCCTGATAGTATGGTACATTATTAGCAAAAGACTTTATTTCCTACTGCATAAGCCTTTGAAAGAAACTCAGTGTGAGCAGAATTTTATTTTTAGTTGGATAGGGTGCTTGCTATATTTAAAGCACAGAAACTGAGTGAATAACCTTATTTGCACATGAAAGCTCTTTGAAGATGCGTTTTCAGCTGTCCTTAGGGGCTACATACCACATGCTAATCAGAATTCCCGATGTCATTGTATGTCACTAAGCGTTTTGTGAATTTGTTTTTAAATGTCACACTTGTGCTTCCCCACTCAGCCTTCAAGGTAGACTTGGTCTCTCTCTCTGGAGTAGCCTGCAAGTTTTCGTAGTCTTTTGTCTTTAGATGAAAGTATGCTGAACACTCTTATCTTCCTCTTTCCTTTGTCCAGTGACCTAGAAATCCTTTTTCTGCACCTCGTACATTCAGTACCTAGACTGAAACTATGATTTATCTGCATTGTTGACATGTCTCTGAAATACCTGGGTTTAGTTCTTGATGCTTATTTTTGTTTGTAAAAGATCACTGTTGCTCATAGAAAGATATTTCTGTATGTTTTCTTTATGTCTCTGAGTACTGATTGTCTATCCCTTCTGCTCTGTTTATTTAATTATGGATTATTTCTTTATTTTGAAGTTCTGCTTGCCACTGTCATACAGGTGCTCTGCAGATAACTGTCCATTTCTACACCTCTTTGTGTGCATGTGTGTAGTATTTATAGACTGTATGCAGCCTATTTATATTCCTGTGGTAGTAAAGTGGTTGAATATAAATGAGTCTGACCATTAGTATATGTGAACAAACAAGCAAACAAGAAAGTATAGGAGAAAATCAACAGTATGCCTTATTAAAGTACTGCTAGTAGAAGTTAGGCAATCACTTTTAAATGGCTGCTATTTTATTTTCTTTATTCTACCGTTTATGACTCTTTTTAGTTTGACATTGTCCTACATAGGTCTTTTGCTTAACTTTAGAGATTCTAGTGCTTCACTTGTGTGGGAAAAAATTGAAGAGCCTTCCATAGATTATCATGAGTTTGAAGAACTGTTTTCTAAAACAGCAGTTAAAGAGAGGAAGAAACCCATTTCGGACACCATTACAAAAACAAAGACTAAACAAGTGAGTACTCATTTAATTTCAGATCTTTTCTAGCCTGACATTTACATAAAGATGGATTTTTGCATGCAGTTGAGATGAATTTTGCCTGGTGTGAAATTGTTATCATATATATACACTATGTAGAAATATAAGAAAAGGACAGAATGTAAGATTCAAAGCCAGATGTGCTAAAGAGTTTTTTTTTTATTAATTGCTTTTCTAGTTATGTGTTAATTCTTCAAAAATCTTTGCTTTATCCACTTTAAAATTTACTGAAGTAAAAACAAAATAATTGGGTACAAATATCAGGCTTTTGATACTGACAGCATTTGTGCAATAAGTAGTATATAAATTATTCTGAGGAATTTTGTAAAATAAATAGTAGAGAGACAGCTATAAATTACCATGATTTCCCAGAATAACAATGTTTAAGAATCTATCTTCTAACGTTATATCAATCATAACAGTTCTGAGTTTGTGTTATGTTTATGTATAGTGAATATGAAGCTCATGCATACAAAAAATGAAAAGCGCAATTGGGAAAATCCTATATTAATCGAGCAAGTGTCTTGGAGTATAGTATACTAAAATAAAAATAGGAAGCATATTTTAAAAGTTGAAGCTAAACCCTTGGGGGGGGGAAAGAAGTGAATCTGAATATTAACATAACTGGATAGAGACCTCTAATCTTCTTGGTATCCATGTGAAAATCATATTGTAACTGTGGTGATATGATAGGTAGTGGAGTTTTCATAATTAAACTTCCAGGCTATAGAGGAGAATGTTCCTCCTGGTAGTGGAGTGAAGTTAGGATCGTTTTCCTAAGGTGCTGGATAATCTTCATCTGGGTGGGTGAGAAACATAATGCCGCCACACTTATGTAAGTGTGTCGTATCCCTGTGTGCTGCACTGGATTATACTAACTGGGATGGGAGGAAAGGTAGCAGTGTGCTGCCACTACCTCACTGTCCTGCAATACATCTGTAAAGTACAAGACCTTTGCTTTTCTTCCCTCCTTCTACAAAAAGCCTCTTTTTATGGTTATCCCTCACTGAAATAATATGAGAGCTCTTTAAGTAAACAAAGGAGAACAAAAGTGTACCTGCTGCTTTGCTTATGAACTATCAGTCCATTCACATTTTATGAGATTTGGTGATACAAATCTCTGGACATGTTAGAAAATAGGTTCATTTAATTTTGTAGCATAAACAGTGGTTAACTAAAAACAGATAGCAATTGTGCATAAACATTAGATGCAGATTTTAATATTAGAAGTATTTATTTTTCTTGAAATAACAAAAAATTGTCAATAAAATATTGTCAGTAAGTAAACAAAAAGTAGATAAAAGTAAATGAAAATGGCTGATCCTAACTTCTTTTGAAAAGATCAAGTTGTTTATCACAGAAATTTCAACACAGAAGTTTAAGGCAATCTAAGTAGGTGCCATAATTTAGAACAAACGTTCCTGTGGGCCGCATAGATTGACATAAGAGAATCCCTTGTGTGTTTCTCTTGCTTCATTTATCAAATAAACGTACTGCTCTCCAAAACAGAATTGCCTAATGGAGAAGTCTGATTTGTTAGTATGTGGGGGAAAATGACCAGCCAAACAGATAACCAGATGTGTTGTTTGTAGTACAAAAAGGCAACACAGCCTTTCATTAGAACTACAACTTAAGCTAGCATTTGTTGCAGGTGTCAAGTTAAATGTTCATATGTATGGATAGAGTTTGGGCTCTTTATTTCATTAACTCAAGAATATTGAAGCAGAATAGCTTCAAAAATATGTTCTATGTAGACGCTTTCAGCAGTGTTGGAACGCAGGCCTTCATTTTTTAAATTCTCTTCATTTATATCACAGTAAACACTTGGATAATGAACTCCATCCATGTTTAGCAGGAAAAACAGTTATTTTGAGAAAGAATGGCTGTAATTCCACAAGTATGTTTTTATAGGAAGCACCAAGTGCTATTTAAGTGGTTGCTGACTTACGTGGATTCTATGATAGTTATGGGTGTTGTAAAGACCTTACAAATGGTGTTTCTGTAGTGATTTTTATGGGGATATGTTATGCAAAGCAGATGTGCTCTGTCACCTGTTGAGCTACAGAAGAGCATTGTGCGGAATACAGCTACGAAGTGCAAAGCTTACTGTACTTCCAGAAAAGTTCTGGTTTGGCAGTTGCTTTTCCCCCTTACTTTGGGGTGCGTGTGTGCTCAGCGAATGTATTGCTAATATGTGTTGGATGTAAAATGCGAGCTAAACTGGAAATAGCTGTGAGGAAAAATTGTCCAGATAACTTTCAAATGCATAAAATATTTAGTGCACTATGTAAACATCTGATTCTAATAAAACAATGTTTTTGTTGTAAGCTGAAAAAAATATATATTTAGAAAGGAGGCCCCATCAGGAAAAGAACTTTCTTGCTAATCTGGACAAAGACTTGATAATCTTGGGGGTGTTGTAGTTGGTGAAAGATTAATTATTTTGGACTAAACTGTTGTTTTGCACGCATCACTACTTATGGTATATACCATAGCGTATATGCATATGTTTTCTTCTATGTGTGTATAGATAAGCATACGTGTGTGTATGACGTAATTATTAGATAATGATGCTCTTTTTTCAAGACATAATATTATTTGTATAGTTGCGTTATTAAGTTAAATTCATCCAACGCACCTGTTGTTTCCAAGTGTTTTTTTCTTATTATGATCATCTGCAGATAACTTAAGAATATATATCTATACATTCAGAGACTGACAATATCAAAACAGTAATTCTTCAAAAAAGTGAATGTTATAGATAGCCACGTTACAAAAGGTCACGTTACAATCCATTACAGAACTTTAAAGGAAGCAGAAAAATGAAATGTTATTGTTTACTTGTGAATGCAGCTGATTTCTTTTTTTCTTATAGTCCCACATTTGATACTATAGCAAAAAGCTATAATTTATTTTACTCTAATAATGCATATATGTCAAATTTTCAGCTGATGTAGACATGTGCAGGCTCACTCAATGAGAATGCCTAGTTAATCTTCAAAGAGAGACCTTTACAGGCTATATTATAGGTGGTGCAGCCATTGCTTCCTATTAAAGTTGTCTGGCTTTTATTATAAGTCACTGTTCTTATAACTTTGCCAAAAGTTAGTCCTTTAGGCTGCGCTTTTTTTTTTGGTTTGTTTTCATGAGGAGACATCGAGTGTCTCCTTCATTTTGCTAATGTTAAGAAAGAAAGCAAAGTCTGTTTTTGCTCATGTCCGCATAGTTTCAAACAGAGACTTGAAATATGGAAAAAAATTATCAAATATGTGTCTTTTGTTAGTTGTATAAATGATTCCTTAAATTTGATCTCCCTATGAGCTATTTTAAAACTCAGTTCATGTTGCCCAGGAGGGACTTCAGGTATAATTCAGAAGACTTTCCTAACCTTGTACTGACAGGTTGGAAAGTAAAGAGCAAGGTGAGAGAGGCAAAGGAAGACTAAGATGAATAATTGAGGAGTGAAGAACTGAGGAGATCTGAGAAGTGGGAATATAGGACATAATAGGTCTGATTCCATTTTACCTCTCATTGCATCTGAAGTAATTCCTCTCAGATACTGGTTTTGAACTGGAGGAACTCTTGACTTGGGGAGTCCTGTGAGCAAATGGCATACCTCATCAGACCTCTAGTGTTTGGTCTAAGCAAAGGATGACAACTTGTTTTGGAGCGTCTTGTTCAACCATGATATATCGTTACAATATTGATTTTTAATTACATAGCTGGATAGTATTTTCCATAGGGTCCATTCCATACCTCGCATGGACTGTTCAAAATGAGTACTGTTCAAAATGATGAACTGTGGTTACTTAGTAAATTAAGCTGTTAATGCAAGCAAAAATGCTTTATAATTTGCTGCAGCAGTTAAAAAGCACGTAGTTAGTGAAGCAGGAAGTAAAAAAAAAAAAATCCCAGTCTGATGATTAAGACCACACACTAAAGAATGCTGTTAAATGCAACATTAAAATTGTTCTTAACGTGGGGAATATTGGCCAGCGTGCACTGAATGTGTCCAGTGGAAAAATGGTATATGTAATAAGAAAATCTTTGTATCTCTGCTAGCCTAACAGATATATAGAAGGGATTGAAATGACTTGTATAGATTGGTTTCTTAACTTTTGAATAGTCATCTTAGAAGCCTTACTAATGATCATTTGACTATATTTTTGGAAAATAGTATAGATGTAACCACAATGAACTTTTCAAGAGCAGAGCATGTGTTTATAATCTATCATGTAAATACAAGGAAAATGTTACAGATATTCTCATATGGAAAGTCCACTATTAATCTATTGACATTAAGATTTTAATCTCCACCTTCCACCCCAGAAAATAAATAATAAGTTACTTAAGTTTCACTCTATTTCAAAAGTTTTAGATGCAAACAAGATGCATCAATAAGAGTATTTAGTTAATGACTTCAGCATTTTTGAATTTTTAAGTTGAACATGAAGACTCCATGGAAATAGAATACCCCTAGAAATAAAAGGCCACATTACAAAGTATAAACTGATAAATAAGGTAAATGCCATATTGAGTTAGTAGATAAAAGATTAGTCATGTTAATTTATTAAGAAGGAATCACATCAAGAGAAAAATAATTTTCTGAAAAGGGGGATTAGTTCCATCTGCAAACAGTTGAGGCACTGTCTTGAGGAACTTTGGGTATCCACGTTTATTGATTTATTAACTGTGCCAGTAGCACCACCATTTGTGATGATTTTATGCCCTCTCCAGAGATACCTTTGGGCTTCTACTGCTCCCAAATGTAGGAGTCTCGGAAGGATTTATCTGATGCATCATTTTTATTTATTCAAGCAACTGATTAGTGAAGTCGTGAAATTATTTATGAAATTAAATAATAGATCTCTTGTTCGGTTTGTAAAGATGATTTCTTTTATGAGATGCAGTATGCATGCAATCTCTTTTTTTTTTCCTCTCATTCTCTTCTTACATGAACTATGGCATTTTTGTCC